TCTTCTTCTTCTTCTTCTTCTTCTTCTTCTTCTTCTTCTTCTTCTTCATCCTTCTCATTTTTTAATGGAATACGATGCTTCAGGAGTATCTGCTGTTTTTATAGTGAGACACCTAATGGTCATTGAAGAGTGCATAAACAGTAGACTGGGGTCCATTTAGTTATCCACACATAATGAAGGTAAAATGAGAAGATAGTGTCATCAGGTTCTTCTTCTCTCTCTTTGGCGTACCCCTTAAGTCACCAGCTTCTTCTTTGCCTGTTTTTATTTTTTTGGTTTTAAAATTTGACCATGGAATAGAGCATGGTTCCTGATGCCTGTAATCCTAGTGCTTGAAAGGCTGAGGCAGAAGAATTGCTGCAAAGTAAGGGTCAGCTTGGGTTACAGAGCAAGACTTGGGCTACAGAGAGGTGGGAGAAAAGGAGGAAAGTAGGGAGAGAGAGAGAGGATGGAAGAAGGGAGAGAGAGAGAGAGAGAGAGAGAGAGAGAGAGAGAGAGAGAGAGACTAGTTTAGGGATAGAATCTCTCATCCTTTCACTAAGGCATGGGTGACCAGTAATAGATAATATCTGGGGTCACCTGACTGCTTTGTTACTATTTGAACAAGCTACACCTTAGTTTAGATAAGTTGTTTAGGAAGGTATGATGATGGAAGTTAACCATGTGACAGCTGCTTTGGAAAGCAATTGCTTCATTTTGGAAATAGTATGTTTTGTGACTGTTTGCTATACTGTTTCTTTCTTTTTTATTATTCATCTTTGTGGATTTATTTTTTATTTAGTTTTTCTCTTTAAATTTCAATATTAGTTCTCTCCCTCCTCTCCTCTCCTCCCATCCCCTTCTTCTGCCCATCCCTCATCCCCCTATCTCCCTTCCTCTGCCCCTCAGAAAAAGGGAACTTCCCCAACAAACCCACCCCAGCACATCCAGTTGTATCAGGACTGCCTTGCCAGGTATACTGTTTCTTATATTTTTTGTTGTCTATCATCTCTAATGACTGAACTTTAAAGGCTAGGATGTCAATCTTTTCATTGTTGATAAATGATGATGAGACATAGAAGCAATAATTAATAGTTATGTTTATACACACTTGCACCTTTTACAAAATGCAATCAGTGATCATTGATTAATACAAAAACATGAAAAGAACAGAAGCAAAACCAAAAATCATAGCTGTTTAATTCAATGACCAATATTAGGTAACGTACCACAAATTGTCCTAGACTTTGACATTGCCCCCTTTTAATTTTAAAATTCAGAGGTGCAGTCAAAAGAAGGATTTCTGTGTATTGGCTATCTGAGAAAAGCAGAATGGAAAACAACACATATTCATAAACTCTGCCTCAGGTTTTGCCTTCTAAGGGATACATTGCCAACAAGTGATTCACATTATCTTTCAGCAGAGTCTTTGAAGATGTGTATCATCAATCTAGTTCTTTCAGAAAACTGGGAATAGGCCGTTCCCAGAGGCTTCTGGGCTTTCCAAAGAAAAAAAAAAAGTTCTCTCTAGTGCAGTCATAAGCAGAGTTCTTTGTGCACCCCAAGGTAACCCCAAGGTACAAAGGCAGAATAGGTAGAACAAATTTCAGGGAAAGAGAATTTCTTCTGATCACATCTGTGAGGGGAACTCAAGCTCACTGTTGGGGACATATGGAGAAATAGAATTTTTAAGGGGCCAGGAGATGTAGGTTTTGTCCTTTACCCCTGAGTGCACCCCACAGTCAGGCAACAGTTGGTCTTGTAGGACCAGCCTGGGCTCTGGGTGGGGAGGGGGAGTCTCGCGATTGCTGGTGGGGGTGTGTGAAAGGGGAGGGTGATGGGGGAGGCCATGACGTAGGGTGGGTGGACGGAAGTGGGGCAGGGTTGAGGGTTATTTAAAGAAGGTGGGGGGGGGCGGGCGAAGGGGTTGGAACATAGTATTCCCTATCCCTGCTCTATCTAGCTTTTTCCAGTGCAGCCACTGCTGCCGCCCAGGAGCTTTCCTTGTCCCTTTTCTCGTTCCCCCTCATCTTTCCCGCCCCAACGCCATGGAGCCGGACACGGCCACAGTGGCAGTCACCGTGGCAGTCTCAGATGCTAGAGCCATGATCGTGGTCATAGAGGATGAGCAACCAGGGCCATCCACCTTTAAGGAAGAGGGAGCGGCTGCCGTCGCCACGGAAGCCACCACAGCCACTGAGAAGGGCGAGAAGAAGAAGGAGGTAAATAGGAAAGGGGTGTGTGCGTGCTCGCTCTGTGTGTGCTGGACACATCTTGTGCCTGGCCCCTCGCAGGGGTCCCAAACCCAACCTTTTGGTACGACAGGTACCGAGATCACCGTAGGGATGGGGGCAGCTAGGGAAGCAGAATCATCTAGCATTTCCTCCCCTCCCCCTTTCCTGCTGGCTGCCTGCTGGGCCGGGGCGGGGCAGGGCGGGTTGCCGCTGGGTGACTGGGTGTCCGGATCCTGAGCCCTGACTCTCTCCTACCCCTGGGTGTCCCTTTACCTTCCCTACACTGGGGGAACGGTGTTGGGGGATGGGGCTATGCAGGAAAAAGCCTCTGCCTCTCTCCTTGTTGGCTCTTCTACCCCCTCTTCCTGTCGGCCTCTGCCTGGGAAATCTGGGCCCTTCAGTCCCACCATGGCGCTGAAGGGGGTTTGGCCGGGCCTTAGTTTTGTAATTTAAATTTCAAGGTGCTGGTGGTGGAGGAGACAGGAGGGGAAAGGATGAACGGTTGGAAGATAATGCCTGCTTTGATTGGCAGTGTCTGCCTGGGATTATAGAAAAAAAAAAATTAATCTCCCTTGTTCCTTTGATCTCATGGTGAGGGGAGGGTGTCATGTCAAGAAAACATTCTCTCCACACTTTACCTTACAATCCTCACACAATAGAACCGTGCTTGCTGTCTTAGGAAAATGTCCAACCTTTGCACTCTCACCCTCTCCTGTCCCACCCCTGATGGTATAGTGTTTCACTTCAGGCCATCCAGATGAATCCCTATCTGGCCTTTGGCCTTCCTGCCTTTTACTTCCCTTGCCTCCTGGACACAGGCAATTTTAAAAACATGTTGAAAAGTCCTACTCTGTAGTATGAACTATATTACTGACACACCAGAGAGGACTTCTGTCACACCTATTATAGACAAATCCAAGAATTAAATATTATCTCACATGAATATATAAGTAAAACTATAAAATGCTTTGAAAATTTGATGTCAAAGAATAGGATGGAGCATAAAAAGTTTTGATGTATCTTAAAATTGCAGAACAGATTGTTTAAAGGTGGATTTTTTCCCGTTTATAATACACATAATGATTTTAAAAAGGGTGGGTAATTGAAATTATGCTTTAGAGAACTCAAATGGCTTTGTATGAATCATTACACAGTGCTCTACGATTAAATGAAAACCTTTGACTTGAATTATATGATTCTAAATTCAGCATTTACTTAAGTCACGTAGTTTACTGTTACAAGGTTGACTAAACAGAAAGACAACTGTAGTGCTAAGTGAAAACCATGGAAAACATTGGATGTAAGATGAGTGTGATACTTGGATCAGTGTGACAACATTGATGATTAAAACTGGGCCAAATACCAAGTATTTGGTAGAGAAATTCAGAAAAATATCTAGTGCCTTTTATTCCCTGGACTGGGCAAATGTAAATGCTAATTTCTTCTTCCTCTTCTTCTTTATCTTCCTTCTCCTCTCCTTGGTATAGTAATCAATGCTGAATTTTGAAATTGTATAAGTTTTTAAATTTCCATTGTAAAAGACTGGGGATTAATAAAAGTATGTGTAATAAACATGAAGTGTGTTTCTATATGTTCATGAACTTTGGACACTATTATGGTGGAACTTCATTTATCTACTCAGGATAGGAACTGCATTTCCTGGGTCTCTAAAGTTTCTTATTTTGCTCATTTTTTTTAAATTTTCAGTTGTTCTTAAAAGCTATGTTTGGAATGGGATGGGAGAAAGGGTTAAGAGCCTTTGACACACAATCACGACAACTAGAATTTGAGTTCCACCAACCATGTAACATACCATGTCTGTCATCACCTGAAGACCTCATTTTTTAGGGTGACAGAGACAAGACAATTGCTGGGGTTTGGTGGCTGCAAGTCTAGTGAAGAAAAGGCAGCTTTTGGTTGAGGGAGAGACCCTGCCTCAAGGAATAAGGGCAAAATGATAGAGGAGGACATTTGATGTTCTCTTTGTCCCCCACATTTGGTGCAAAGAACCATTATGCCCACATGTGCACACACCCACATAAATCCTTTAAAAATGCTAAGTATATTTTGTACTACCTTGAATCTGTAAGAGGTACACACTTATCTTTCTTCATAGTCAATGGTTTCTGTACTTTGACAGTGTTACAAGGCCAGTTGACACTAAGCAGGTTGTTTCCCCTCAACTAAATGACCGTTTCTCAGACTTGCTTAGTAATAATAACTTCTAATTATTTGTTTTTAATAATTTTTTTCTGTCTCCTTAATAGCCAGCTATTCACTTACATTTTTTAAGGGTCTCATCTACTTTGATCAGAAATTATCTACCACAAAATATGAAAACATCGGTGATGCTCAACCCCACAGATAAAGGATGTTATTATGGAAGAACAAGTAGTTCAGTTCTGGAGTTCTGCCATCTATTCCTGGTGTCCATGATACACCTTGTGTTAGTGGTCTTTACTATGTCATTTGCTACTGCTTTCATTTCCTGGGGTGTTCAAAGCTAGACTATCAAATGAGGTAGAATTGGATAGGAATAAGGGTAAAGCACTTTTCATGATGAATCAAGTAGATGAGCTAACAGTGAGTTGATTATGACATTCAGCCCACACAGAGAATTTTCTCTTACCTTATGATTCTTGAACTTACTTGGTTAAGTGACAGTTGGATAATTTAAGAATGTAAAAATAGGAAGATGATATTTTGTGGGAGTAAAAACACCAAGGTTACAGTCTTTAAGAAAAAGGTTTTGGTGATCTTGTGCTACACTCTCATGGTTTCAAAACTATAACATCTGCACACAAAAAAGACAGAAAAGTAAAGGTACATTAGTTGGGATGAAGAAGTGAAAAGGAATAAGTAAAGAGGTATGAAAATGACCAAAATATATTGTGTATCTGTATGAAATGGTCAAGAAATTTAAATACACAAAAGACTGCAAGAAGGTAAAATCTACAAGTAATCCATTAGAAAATTTTATTTACCTTTTATCTTTTCTTGTATGAAAAATGTATTTTGGGACACATACATATAGATAAATGAGAAGGTTGGAAAGGTAGGTCTTTAAAAAAAATTAAAACATTTGTTGTGGAGAGTAGTGTCAATGAAGTGGTTACCCATAGCTTTTAATAATAGTACTGCTCAAGATGAGGGATTCAATTAGCGTGTTATTTCATTTTAAAGCACAGATGTAATGAATAAAACTGAGCTGTAATTTCTCTGAATGTGAAGTTTTTGTCACACACACACACAAAGTTATTGTTACTGTTTTAAAACTTGAAAATTCCACCTCATTGAACTTTTAAGATAAAAGTATGAATTTTGATATCTAAGATTTTGTTGTTTTGAAAATGAGACTTGTAGTATGAGATTTTTTTTTTTTTGAGACAGTGTTTCTCTACATAGCTCTTGCTGTCCTGGAACTCACTATGTAGACTAGGCTGGCCTTGAACTCACATTGTTCACCTGCTTCTGTCTTTCAAGTGCTGGCATTAAAAATCTTTACCACGACTCATAGCATATGTGATGCTGAAGATATGATCTTGAAAGTGTCTTTCTCAGTTCCTATTCTAGAATTACATTTATGATATCTTACATAGTTGATCATGATACATGAGATGCTCTAACTCAACGTATTTGTTATGTGATTAGTGCTCCAAAGTAGGACTCTGATCAAGGTCAAGCTTCATAATCTTTGTTCGAATTTCCTCAAGATAAAACTTTCAGTAAATGTTAGAAGACAGTCATTAATTATTGGAGGCATTTTTTTTTCATGTTTACGGTCACATTCTGGTGCGGAATTATGGAAGATTTCAAAGACAGGTTGACAAAAGCTGTGATAAAAGTGACCTCGTTTCTATTGTTTTCTCAAAAAGATTTATATTTTAATTTCTGCAAAGTCTCTGTTCAAACTCAAATATTCTTGGTATTGCTCTTCATGGATAGAGACTTGTTTGTATTATTCTATTTTTTTTTTTTTAGTTCTCCTAGAGAAGAATATTTACTCTATGTATGTTCTGATATTTAAATCAATAGGCTTGTTTTTACAAAGTGTGGGTTACACAAGATATTGAGCCAGTATTGCCAGGTTATTTTAGGCTTCTTGGGTTACTGATTGATGCTAGTGTTCATTAATTTACCATTTTAAAAATATTATCAGTTAATAGAGAATACCTCTGATGAATCACTTGTATAAAGTATTTTTGTAGCACGAATAGTCAGAATAGCTTTCTTTCCAGTGGAAATGAGTGACCAGTTTGAAGCGGTACTATTGGGTTATTTTAAGTGTATGAGCTTATGTTGCACTGTATGAAAATGTACATGCTTTAATTAGTCTAAGAAAACAAATTTCCAAAATGTAATATCAGGACTAGAAGCCAGAGTCTTTTATGCTGAAAGTCTGGCTCGTTTCTAGTAAATGAAGAAGTGTTTTGGAGAGTTATTTACATTTCTTGAATTTTTTTGGTTTGTGGTTGAACATTAGCCTGTTTCAGGATTTCTAAGTCTTTTACTTCATGGCTACACATTTCTTCTGCTTTAATTAAAAAAAAAGACAAAAAGCTCAGTGTTTTATTTTTGGTTTTTATTCTAATTGCTGCCACTTTCTCTGATAGCTTAAGGTTTTTTTTTTTTTTTTTTTTTTTTTTTTTTTTCCACTTTTTCTGATGACTTAAGGTTTTTTTTTTTTTTTTTTTTTTTTATTGGACCCCAGGTGCACAGAACTGGATTAATCATAAGTCTTGCTTCATAACTTGCTCTCATCATACATGTCCCTCAGTGACTTATTTATCAAGTTATTTAATTACTTTTGGCTGTCTTCAAGGGAAAATATCGACCTGTTTAAAGACCTTGCTTAGGAATTGGCTGATATTTATTTCTTTTGAAATTCTAGAAAATCACTTCTTTATTTCAACTCAAACTTGCTGCTAAAGCTTCCAAATCTGAAAACGAAATGGACCCAGAATATGAAGAGAAAATGGTAAATATACTCGTGGTAAGGTAGTGAATACTCTTTCTCTTGTTTGTTTGTTTGTGAGACAGGTCTGGTTATATAATCCCAGGCTGATCTTGAACTTGATCTTGAACTGCAGTGTTAGCCTCCTGATTTCTGTGATTATTTGTGTATATTAACATACATGGCTTATAGTTAATTTTTATGGAGATGTGAAAGATGTAAAAGACTTGTCTGGTTGTTTATGATGCATAATCATATTTCAGAGTACAAATGTAATTTAGTATATTAAACTATCACAACAATTGTGTGTGTGTGCACAGGTGTGCATGCATGTAGGTCAGAGGTAAATGACAGGTATCTTCCTCAATCATTGTTCACCTTATTTTTTGATCATGGCCCCCTCTGATTTAACCTGAGGAAAGGTTTGGGTGGGTGTTTTCCTTAATCACTCTCCACCTTAATTTAATTTTTTTCACTAACTTAAGCAAGAGTTCACAGATTTGGTGAAGCTGGATAGGCAGTGAACTCTAGAGATCCACCTATTTTCTTTTTGTCAGCACTGGGAGTATGGTGTGTGCCACATACATTTTTTTTTTTTTTTTCATGTGGGCGCTAGGGATCTGAACACAGGGCATTACACTTTAAAAAAATCATTTAATTTAATTTAATGCGCACTAGTGTGAAAGTGTCAGATCTCTTAGAATTGGCATTACAGAGAGTTGTGAGCTACCATGTGGGTGCTGGAAATTGAACGTGGGTCCTTTGGAAGAGCAAACAGTGCTCTTAACCACTGAGCCATCTCTCAAGTCCAGGCATTTCACTTTTGTGACAAGTACTTTACCTACTGAACCATCTCTCCAGCCAACAATTACTTTCTGTTGAATAAATTAATCTCATTTTCAAAGGAGAAAATTAAAGGTCACAGAATAGTTGAGATGAGAAGTCATGTTTTACTTTGCTCAGTGTTCTTTATCCAGCTCTAAGGTGCCAAAAAACCAAAATATTTTGTGTATTCAGTGATGAAGGTATCAGTGGCAATATCACAGAAGCTTTGTACCTTGAGGGAAACACAGCCACAATGTCAGATCAGTATTTCTTTCTCTTAATTTGCATCTAAATGAATGTTCTCCATTAAGGAAATATGTAGTATGATAACATACACCTTTAGAGGCATATTCTGGCTTATTTACCCAATGCATGAAAGTACATTCTTAAGTAGTGTAATCTTAGTTGAGCCCTGTATATTGCTTTGTGATTTTTTTTTTTTTTAATTTTCAGGCACCAAGAACTGAACAGGTGGTTGAAACTCATTTTTTCCCCTGAAGGACTGTTTTTGCAGTTTTGAAATAAAAGGGAGAAACTACATGCTTCAGTTGCTAATAGCAATTTTACAAGAGACAGTGCCTTACCATTTAAGACCACATCTAAGGAGACAGTTAATGTTTTAACAGTTCTAAAAACAACGTTCCAGAAAGAATAGCACGAATTGGAAAGTTTTGGCCACCTTCCAGCTAGTGATTTTAATGTATTTTTCTAAGTCTTGTATCTCTGCTAATGAACTCTTTTCTAAGTTTCTGGTATTATTATTATTAATGTTTCACCAGTAATCAAGTATTCTTTCCTGAATGGTAGGAAAGTAACTCTGAATAAAAGGAAAATCTTTTTTTTTTCTTCTTTTATTTAGGATGAGGTACACTTCTTGGTCTTTTAAGGTTTTATAGTGAACCATTTTATTTTTAATTTTTTTCTATTTTTATTTTATTGAAAATAGATTTTTTTTGCTGTATTCTGATTATGCTTCCCCCTCTTCTAACTCCTCAGATTCTCCGTACCTCAACGTTCATCCAAATCCACACCCTTTCTTTCTCTTATTAGAAAACAAAGAGGTATCTAAAAATAATAATTAAATAAAATAGCCATTTATTTTGATGGCACAAGTTATATATAAAGCTTCAGAGCTTACTGAAATTTTAGACTACACAACAGCATTCAGTACTTAATATATATTAAGTATTCTACATATATGTGTGACTAAATATTTTAATCTAAGTTCTGTTCCTTTGGGTAGAACTTTACATACTAGTAGCATAAAATATAACCTTCCAGACTAACATAATTCAAAGAAAGAAATTTCATTATTGTACCATTACCCTGAAAATATTTTTGAGAGCAGCTGATACTATGTTACTAGATTTCTGATATTTCTAAACACAGTTTAGTAATTCTCAAAGTTAAGTTTACAGTATGTATGTATCACAACTCACATGTCATTTATTATTTATTTATTTATTTATTTATTTATTTATTTATTTATTTATTATTTTCTAGGTAAGTTCTGTTTGTAGTTGTGGCTGTACTGAAACTTGGTCTGTGGACCAGGATGATGTTGAACTCACAGAGATGCTCCTGTTTCTGCTTTCTGAGTCCTAGGATTAAAGTTGTGCACTACCATGCCTGGTTCCAATTTATATCTGTTTCCATGTTTAGGACATACACAATTGATACTTAATGTTTTCTACGATAAAGGAAGAGAATCATGGTTAGCAAGAGGATTAGTCAAAATTAGTAGTGTCATATTGGGCACTGGGAATTGAACTGTGGGCCTTTTCAATGCCCTAGCACTGCACTACACCTCCAATCTCAAGGGTTACTTCTGGGAACATTTCCTAAATCTTTCAGGTCATGTTTCTTCTGTTCAAACTATTTGAAATAGCATTTTAAAATTTGCTTAATTACAAACTATGGAAGCTTGGGAACCTCCATGTTATCATCTATAAAATGGGTATGACGCTAGTGACTAACTCATGGATTTCTGAAGGCAGTTCAGTAGATTAGTATGTTAAAGCACTGAGGATATTTCACACATGAAGCATAATATAAATGTTTGATAAACAACTTGAAGTGAATAAGAAAAGAAAAATCTTTACTTTTTTCCTTTTGTAAATTAGAAAGTAGACAGAGCAAAGAGATTTGAATTTTTACTGAAGCAGACAGAACTCTTCGCACATTTTATTCAACCTTCAGCACAGAAGTCTCCAACGTCTCCTCTCAACATGAAACTGGGAAGTCCTCAAATAAAGAAAGATGACAAGCAGAGCTTGATTCCGGTTGGAGAGTATGCAGACGTCTTTCTACTTTTTCCCCTTTTTATCTTTGCCTCTACCTTTGCCATTTCATTTCCTCAGCGTAATTTTATATGAATAATATGATTATTAGCAATATGAATTTTTTTTTCCTTACTAGAACTTAATTAGTTAAAGACCAGATAGACTAGGGTCAGATGGCAGGGGAGGAGGACCTCCTTTATCATTGGACTGGGGGAGGGGCATAGGAGAAGAAGAGGGAGGGAGGATGGGATTGGGAGGGGATGGGGGAGGGCTCTACTGATGGGATACAAAGTGAATAAACTGTAATTAAAATAAAATAAAAATTAAAAAAAATGTTGACTGCTTCTACTGCATTCTATGCTAGACACTAGACAACACATTCCTTTCTTTATAAAAGATGTTAGCAAAGCTAAGTTGGTGCCTCAGCCTTGACTGACATCAAATGTGAAACTTTTTTTTTCTTCTTCACTTTAGCTATCGCCACAGGCGCACGGAACAAGAGGAAGATGAAGAGCTGTTGTCCGAGAGCAGGAAAACATCGAATGTGTGTGTTAGATTTGAGGTCTCGCCTTCCTGTGAGTACTTTATTACAGCTCAGTTGGAGAAAAATAAATTTCCTTGAGTATACTGGTAAAAGTATGAGAGGTTCTTCTTTTCTGTTTTCAGATGTTAAGGGAGGACCCCTGAGAGATTATCAGATCCGAGGTCTAAACTGGTTGATCTCTTTGTATGAAAATGGAGTCAATGGTATTTTGGCTGATGAAATGGTAAGGCATGAGTATTTACAGTATGTTCTCAGTTACTAGAAGTTTTTAATGTTTTGAACTTTCCTGAAGCCCTATGCTGGAAAGCTTTATTGAGTTCCAAAAAGTTTTACTTTTTAGATTTACTAATTTTACTTTATGTGTGTGAGTGGCTTGCCTTCTTGTATGTGTACTACATGTTTGCAGTGCCCAGAATGGAGAGAAGAGGTCATAGGATCCCCTGGAACTGGAGTTTGGATGGTTGTGTGCTACCACATGGATGCTGAAATGGAACCCAGGTCCTCTGTCATAGCAACAACTGCTCTTAACCTCTCCAGCCTTCAAAAGAATGTTTGTAGTCTACAATTGTTCAAACAACCTGTAGAATATAGCTTTTTGCATTGCACAAAGTCCATATGGAGATTTCCTGAAGTGTTACAACACCTCTTTCCTTATGGTTTAGTTTGTACTTTGGCTTCCAAGAAGCCCAGAGAAAAGTGCAATGTGAAAAACGAACATCTCTTCAACCTTTAAGGTTTGCCCTTTTCTCTTCTTATGCTTTACCTTCTAGTCTAATTTTTCTTGATAACTTTTCATTTCTGTTTTACCATTAATTTATAAAACTGACATCTTCTTGGGAATGAGGTGGGATATATAAACCAAACAACAAGTATATGAATGAATGAATGAATGAATGAACAAATTCATGTATGAATGAATGTAACCCCAGTTGCCCTGTAACTCACTATTATAGACCATTATTATATAGCCTCAGACTAATGGGTTTCAATTTTCTTGCCTTAGCCTTCTGAGTGTTGGGATTATAAGCAAAGCTACAGTGTTGGCTCTCAATACTAACTTGCCAAGTGGCAGTCTTTTGATAAACTAATGAATCATGGACATGCATGTAAAATTACTGAATAAAAAATGTCATATAAGATGTTAATTGAGTAGATGAGGGGATTATATGAAGGCCGAGACTTGAATTTTAAGACAAAATAAATAAAATTACACTTAAGAGAGGACAGAGGAAGTTATATATCTATTTAACCCAGTAATATAATATTTATGAGACTCAAGAGCCATATTTTCAATCACTATTATCCAGATGGCCAAATAATGAAATGCATATTATGATATCTAGTATAGACAATCCCATAGGCAATCATCTTTGACTGAACAACTGTTTAAGTATATGGCTAAGAAACTTTTTTTTAAAAAAAAGGAAGAGTGGGTAGCTCCTTATATTTACATTATTCTATTGAGAGCCACATTCAGCTCATAGCTGGAGGGCCTTAGTTTATCCAACAATAGAAGGACAAGGATTATTTACCCCCAAAACTTCTTGGCTACAACCTGCCGAAGACAAATGATCTAAAGATCCTTTAAGATTTTGCTGATGCCATATGAATTTTAATTGTTTCTTATCTTTTATTGCTTTTCCTTCCAGTACTGGAGCTTAAACCTAGGGCCTTCTGTAGGCAAATGCTTAATCACCGTGCTAAATCCTAATGTATTTTACATGTTGTGTTTTGTGATAAGGTCCCATTATGTTGCTCAAGCTTTATGCTTGTGATTCTCCTGTTTCAGTCTCCCCTGTAGCTAAGACTATAGGTGTATATTATGTCCAACTTGTTTTAATTACTGTAACAGAGGAAGACATTTTAGAGAATATATGCAACTTAGAAAAATAAAATAGAAGTTAGCTAGTAGTAAATACAGAGCAATTCTGCCACTGAAAAATAACCATAGTTGACATTTTTGCTGTGATTCTTTTTAAACTGTTTTTTTCTAGATGTGTAGCCGAGATTATATTGTATGTATAACTTCGAATTCTAACTTTTTCACATTCATATGTATTTTTCATATCATTGAAACATTTTGTCAAAGTAAATTTTTACTGTCTAATAGTCATAAGGAGGTACCATTGTTTCCTTCTACTCCTCTTTTGTTTTGCCCATTTGGATTGTTAGCATCACAGTATAAATAGTGCTACTATGACAACTTTATTGTTAGTTTCTCTATGCCTCTTACATTGTTCTCATAGGATTCCTGGAAGTAGAATTATTTTCTTAAACATTTTTGGGTTTGGGTGGATAACATCAATAACAATCCATCTTAAGTGACTTATCAGATAAGACATAGCCCATAAAAGTGATATTTATAGAATGAAGGTTTATGCCTTGCATAGAGATTAAGCAAAAGCTGCTTATTATTTAGTGTTTACTTTTACTTGTGAGGTTGGGATCAAAACCAGGGCTTCATATAAACATGTGCTCTCTACTGAGCCACACTCGAACTCTTTAAAAAGCTGACTCTTCAGGACTGGCTGCATTGTCTTCCTCCATGGCCTGGTAAGGATGTTCCCCCCTCAGAGGGAGGTGATCAAAGAGCCAGCCAATGAGTTCATATCAGAGATAGCCCCTATTCCCATTACTAGGGAACCCACTTGGACACTGAGCTGCTATGAGCTACATCTGTGTGGGGGTTCTAGATTATCTCTATGAGT